AACCGGTAGTAATATTAATTTTGAAAAGTTAAAATAATAATTCTTGCCCTCGAGACCAGTATTGCCGTTCTAGAAAGCAAAAAGTTTGGTGAAAAAATGTAAAAAAATATAAAAAAAGCATGCTAAAAACGGTAGCGCGATTTATCGAAAAACCAATTTGGAAAAAATTCGGATATTATCAATTTTATTGAGCAAAATTGGTAAATAAAGAAGGAGAATTTAGTTGCTCCTTTGGGAAAAAAATGTTGGAAAATTACTCCGGAGAAAGCACAATTTGCCTTTTAAAATGTGAAAAAGGTCCTCGGGGTTTTAGTTGCCGCGAAATAGAATTTTTGAATGATAATGAGGAAATAACTTTTTGGGAAGAAATTGCTGTTAAAACGAAGAATAATCAGTCTGATTTACGGAAAGAAAACCAAGAACTGAAGCAGCAACTAGCCGAAGTTAAGAAACAACTAGTAGAAGTGTTGGCTGAACGGAAAAATAGTTCGAATGGTCAAATGGCTAAAGCGGAGAAGGAAAAACTAGTTGAGGTAAGAGAGGAAAAGTTTAGTAATCCAGGTGAGGAAAATTTACTTGAAGATGAGCAATCATTTGAAAAGGAATTTAATAAATTAATTAGTCCCTTAAACGAAGAACAAAAAAATGTTTTTTGCCTTGCTGTCAAAGAGAAAGTTAATCTTTTTTTTACTGGAGCGGCTGGCACTGGCAAGAGTTTTTTGCTCAAAAAATTAATCACCGCTCTCAAGTCAGCATATGGTGAGAAAAGTGTAGCAGTTACCGCTCTGACGGGAATTGCGGCCAATAATATAAACGGCAGAACTCTTCATTCTTTTGCGGGAATAGGTTTAGGTTCAGAGCCCTTGCCTGAGCTGGTTAAAAGAATTCAAGATTCAAAGCGAGACCAAAAAAGGTGGCAGGAAGTAAAGGTGCTAATAATTGATGAAATTTCTATGCTCGATGGAGATTTATTGGATAGTTTAGAATTTATTGCCCGAATAGTTCGAAATAATCAACAGCCGTTTGGAGGATTACAACTTATTTTTACGGGGGATTTTTTCCAACTCCCGCCAGTTTCTCGAGATAAAAAATCATTCCAATTTTGTTTCGAATCCCAAAGTTGAAAAAAATGTCTAAATCATTTTATTTTGTTGACCAAAATTCACCGCCAAACTGAGAACAAATTAATTGAACTTCTTAATGAAGTGCGTTTTGGTGAAATCTCGCCGGCTGGATTAACCATGTTGGAAACTCTAGAGCAAGAACCAAAATTTCCGAATGATGGTATTGAAGCCACTCAATTATACGCTACTAATGAAGAAGTGAATAAAATCAATCAGGCTGAGTTAGCCAAACTTCCTTATCAACCATACTTTTACTCAGCTATCGATTGAGTGGTTCCAACCAAGCAACTTCCCGAATTGCTCCGGGGTTGTCTGGCACTAAGCGAATTACAATTAAAACTTAATGCCCAAGTAATGCTAATTAAAAACTTAACTCCCCAGTTGGTTAATGGTAGTCAAGGGATAGTGGTTGGTTTTCAGGAACAAAAGGAATGTAAAGTCAATTACTATGATTGAGAAACTAAAAAAATAAAAACGACAACTCAAACCTTAATTCTCCCAATAGTTAAATTTACTAATGGAATCAAAAAAGTTATCGAGTTAGTTGAATGGAAGTCTGAAATTCCTTATACCCACATTGTTCAAGCTAGTCGTCAACAAATCCCCCTCGTGCTAAGTTGAGCCATTACCATTCATAAGAGCCAGGGGCAGAGTATTGAAAGACTAAAAATCGATTGCCAAAATATTTTTGCCAAAGGACAATTATACGTAGCACTTTCCCGAGCAACTTCAGTTAAATATTTACAGGTTATCGGGTTCAAAAAAAATCATATAATGTTTTCTCACCCTAAAGTGAATAACTTTTATCAAACTTTACTTGAAAATCAAACGGGAACAAAAGATATTGTCTTTGAAGGAAAAGTTATTTCTATTAAAAGAAAATCATATCGTCAAGGAGATTCTGAGGATTTATTGAGGAAAAACAGGATAGCCTTGGAAATCAGAGTAGAGCCGAAAGTACCTTACGCTCTCGGTATTAATAGTTCCGGCAGAGATAAAATTTATTATGCTTGAAGTGATTACGGAGACTTAGATATCCAAGAAGGAAAAAAATACCAATTTTTAATCCAAAAATCTAACGGATGATGACAATTAGAAGGTCAAAATAAGTTAATTCTCTTATAAGTTGGTGAAAAATAAATTACCATGCTAATTCTAGCTATTGAAACTAGTTGCGATGAAACTAGTATTGCTATTCTTGAAAACAAAAAAGTTATCAGTAATATTACCGTTTCTCAAATCCTAGAACAACAAAAATATGGCGGAGTTATGCCAAGTTTAGCAGCAAAATTACACATCAAGAATATTCAACAAGTTCTTACTCAGGCTTTGAATGAAGCAAAAAAATCTCCGCGAGAAGTTGATTATATTGCTTATACGGAAAAACCTGGTTTAATTATTTGTTTACAAATTGGCAAAATCATGGCCGAAACCTTGTCTTTGTATTTAAATAAGCCAATTTTTCCTTGTCATCATCTTTACGGACATATTTATGCTAGTTTATTGGATAAGAAAGAAGAGTGAATATTTCCAGCTCTGGCTCTAATTGTTAGTGGTGGTCATACCCAAATTTATCAGGTGAATAATCATTCTGATTTCGTTCTTTTGGGAGAGACTTTGGACGATGCGGTTGGTGAATGCTTAGACAAATCCGCGATTTTGCTAGGGTATACTTATCCGGGAGGACCAATTATTGAAAAATTAGCTCTTAATGGTCAGAATGTTTATCGGCTGCCTTTTCCTAAAAACGATAACAGTTTGGATTTTAGTTTTAGTGGTTTAAAAAGCGAGGTAAGAAGGCTGGTGGACACAAAAAAGGAAAGTATAAATGTGAATGATTTAGCTTGTTCTTTGCAATATATTTTGGCCGAAATTTTAGCCAAGAAATTAAAAAATGCTTGATTAACTAATCAGGCTAGAACTATTATTATCGGAGGGGGAGTAATTGCTAATCAATTTCTCAGAAATTATTTGGTAGAGAAAATCAAAAAATGAGATAAAAAGATAAAGATTTTTTTTCCTGCGATTAAGTACTCGACTGATAATGCTGCCATGATTGGGATGCTTGCCTACTATAAAATTTTTCCTAATCTATCGTAAAAGAACTTTTTTTCCTTGTGTAAAAGAAAATTACTTGATATGAATTCAATTTTTTTCATGTATAAATTTTTTAACTTTCCCTCTTTCCCTCCTTAATATAGTAGGAATTCACGAATAAAATGTCAAGATTCTTGCCTTACTAATTAGTGGAAAGTTAGTAGAAGTTAGAAATTAAACGAAAAGAGGAAAAAAATAATTTATGAATGATAAATTGGATATTAAACCTTTGATCTCCACTCGTAACTTTTTGGCTGAGATTATCCAAAATGCTAAAAATGACTATGAAAAAGTAGGGGCTATTCAAGCCTTTGAAGTTAGTTTTGAATTAACTAAAAATGTCATTAGAAAGATCTTGTTGTTACGAGCTCAAGAAGCCCCTATTACTCCTAAGGAAATTTTTCGTTTAGCCGCTTTAGAAGGTTTGATAGGTGATGCTGAGATTTGATTTGAATTTGCCAAGAAAAGAAATTTAACTAGCCATACTTATGATGGAAAAACGGCGGAAGAAATTCTAACTTCTTTACCAAAATTTCTCCAAGAGTTAAACTTATTAATCACTAAATTAAAAGAGTTACCCGAATGTTACAGTTAGAAAATAGACATCAAAAAATAATTCAGCAAGTACTTAGCAAATATCCTTATACTTTTTATGCTTATGGTTCGCGAGCCAAGGGAACTGCTCGGCAATTATCCGATTTAGATCTTTGTTATCAGGAGTTTATTCCCGATTTTCTAGTTTATCAAATTGAAGAAGAATTCAAAGAAAGTGATTTACCTTTTAGGGTCGAATTAATTAGTTGAAAAAGAATGAAACCTAGTTTTCAAGCATTAATTAAGGGTGATTTAACCAAAGTAGCAATTTAAAAACAACAAATAGCCACAAGTTAGAGAAGAAATTATTCATTTAGGTTAAAAACGAGCATTAATTTTGTGTAATAGTTAAAAATTCAGCAAAAAAAACAACCAACTAACCATCCTAAATTAAAAAAAATATAATTGTAGTGTTAAAAAAGAAAAAAGACCCTTCTCA